ATGTTATGACCAACAAATGTTAATAGAATGCAACTGAAATAGCTATGCAATCAAAAACAGGAAGACATATTGCATTATTACCAGCTGTGTGAGCTTAAGCAACTTACACTGATAAAATGTGGCCAATGACATTTTACATAAAGTCAAGGAGTTGCTTACCCGGACTATCTTCTGGTTATCATTTATGATTTATTGACAGTCTTTGGGGACAGTGACTCTACTAGCAATAAACGTATCTTTTTTTAGTTTCACAAGCCCATAGTAATTTCTCTCTTAAAAGACAAAGACTAATCAGAACCTCAAGGAACATTAAAGATCATCTAGTCTACCATCTTTCTCCATATTTATATATAGCAGGGATGGGGGAAGGAAGTTTATAGGAGTTGCATAATTTACCTAGTAAGAGGCTAAGCTTGTATAATACCCAGGTCTCTTGCTTTGTGACTTGTTTCTATACTTAATGAGAAACTTAGCCAAATGTCCTACTGCAAGTTAAGATTCCCAGTATCTATCATATCAGATCTAATTGAGCTCTAATGGTTTATGAACTAGTATTTCAAACCTCCCTTTAAGACCACAAATGGGTCAAACTGCCTGTTAAATTTAAAATAAATCAAAATAAAAAGTGAGCCCATTAATTTGTATACAATACCTTCTCCTCCTTTCCTGTCAAGAGAAAATGGGACTCTTCTAACTATTTGATTAAGATAATTTAATTACATCACCATTATCATATATATATACGTTATGCTATGGGATGCGTAACTAAGGACAAGAAGCCAAGCCAATAAAAACAGTATTAAGAAGACAATAGACCTGGGTAAACAGAGAAAGCAGAAGAATATTATGTACAATAAAACAAGGCCTCAGGATTTTCTACTGTTTATTCTTCTCTTTTGTTCATTTGTCGCCTGCCTCTCAACCCGCCTTGTAATCACCTATTGATTCAGAGATAGATTGCTTCTGTCCACCTTTTGGAAACACCTATTGATACAGAGATGCACTAAGGCCAGGTGAGAGATTCTGGAAATATTGCAATTTTACCCAAAAAGAGATAGAGATAATACAGAATTACTCTACTTTTTCTTTGTTCCAGTCTTTTCTAACATGGAAAATAATCTTCATGCTGGAAAGGTACAGAGTCGTGACAGGTAGTATGATGTAATTTAAAAAATGTTCCATGGAATTGAACAACAGGAATTTGGATCCAGACTTTTCTCTAATGAGTTATAATCTTACACAACTTATTTTCTCTGAGTCTTGCTTGATGATATCAGTAGTTCCATCACCAGAGGGCTAAAAGTATTACACGAGATGATGTGTGGAAAGCACTTTGACACAGTAACAGCTTAATAAATGGTAGTTAATGGGACAGAAGCCCAAAATAGGTGAGATAATGCCTAAGAATTCTAAATTAGGTAATCTTTCAAGGCCTAGAAGAATCATATTTAAATGTACTGAAAAAAATTTATAGAAGCAATAACGATGTTATTGTCCCAATTTCCAAAAAAGAGGGGAAAAAGGATTCTCAAAATTTAGTATACCAACCAGCCAACTAGAGGTTTAATCCCCAAGAGCATTTCACAGACATTATGAATTATGAAACAGATATTCTATTTGCAATTTTAGAAGGAAGTTGTGATTGCTGAAATCAGTATTCCAGTCAAATGCAAGTCATGCTGGAAGCAACACAATTTCCTCTTTCTTTTTTTTGAGGGGCTTAGACAGACTAATCAGAGAAATGCCACAGATATATTAAGTGTCAGTATTTCCACAGGGCATGGAACTGTAGGGACAAAGAGCAGGCTGCCCCAAAAGTGCCACTGTGACATGCAGACTATTTCAGAGCTGAAAACAATCAAGGCCCAAAGACTCAGAAAGAAACATCGAACTCCCCTCCCTCAAAGGGCATAAAAAGAATTTAGAAGGAGGAACTCCTGCAGAAAGAGAGCCATCATAGGTAACTACATTCAAGTATGAACTAGGGTCAGCAGACAGGGGGGAATGTGGCTAAGAATGTTGAAGGTCCTCTTTGTGTCCCACTGTTTCTGTGTGGCTGGGCAAACATTTGTTCACCAAGCACTTTCATATTCCTGTGAATTGCTTCCCTTTTCCTCTGAAGTCTCAGAACCCTCATCCCTTCTGATTAGTTCAGGATGACATATATACCTCACTCTCCCTGACTGTTGTTAAAAAACAAAATTCATCCAAGTAAATTTGAATATCTAATTGGCTGTACTGAGCAATTCATGAATCAGGCAACACCCCCTCTAGCAACAGAAAGGAAGAGGATTTGAATGGCAGTATAAGGATGTCATAAATACAAAAGAGGATGATTTCGGGTGAGGTCACCTTTATCTGGGGTCAAAAGGGTTTTATTAGGTGGATGCCTTTCAGGGGATAGAGAGCACATATTTGGCATCATCTTAACTATCCTGAGGGGAAAATTCCTGACTACATTTCTGGAGGAGGTTGAAACTGCAGTTACGTTAGGTATTCAAAGAAAGGCACATGCTCAGCAATGGGGTCCCTTCTCCTGGTCTAAGTCACCAAACTGGGGCTTCATGCCCAGCCTAGCTGCAGTTGCAGAACTGATTTTAAACCATTCAGTTTGGAGCTTCCCAGTCAGCTTATCTGCATAAGCCCCCACTGCTCCTCCTAAGGGCCTGGGGACCTTACTGGAAACAGTCCTTAATTGCTTCTTTTGCGAATCACTTTTTGTCCCATCCTCCTGTCTATACAACTGTCAACTCTTTGGAGCATTTTTTTACTTGCTAGATGGGATACTGCCCAATTCATGAATGGGTTAAGAATTAGATCTTCAAATGTACCTGACTGAATTTTGTTTTTAAACCCTTTTTAACACTGTCTATGGAATCTCATGCCTGTGGATTCACTGTATATGTGTAATTGCCCCTCAGCTTTTCTTCCTGTTACTCTGTCTCACGTCAGCCTGACCCAGATCAGCCGAAGAACCTCGAGGGGTAGAGAAAATCCCACCCCCCAACATGACAGAGGTTTCATGAACCTTTAATATGTTAATGTGCATTATGAATATCTAGATAATGCTATTAAATACAGTACTTTGTAAATTCTCAACCTTGGGACTCATTTTTGGAAAAGCAGCTTATAGAATCGTGGAAAGAACTTGGGTGAGGCAGTTGATGGTCTCAGGTGAAGAATGGGTCTTAATTAAAGGTAGGTTTTAGTGGGAGCTTTTGAAGATAAGGTCAGGGATATTTCTTAGCAGAGTAGCACACAGTAGACCCTTACTTAAATATTTGGTCAGTAGACATACATGAATGAATGATATGAATTGAGAGAAGAGTGAAAAATGGGAAAAGAAGAACAGAGAGCTTCCTGAGAGGCAGTCTGAGAAGGGTGAGGCTGGCTGGATAGAGGCGAGAGGTGAGCCGGGTGGGAATGGAGGCCCTGGAGCTAAAAAAGCTGCCTGCCACCTAGGGCCTCAGTCCAGCCCAGCACCTATCTGTGCAGCACATTAGCTAAGAATAACTCTTACATTTTTTGACTGTTCAGTTTTTGTGGGAAAACCTTTATTATTTTTAAATGTTTGAAAAAAATTTCAAAGAGTAGTAGTATTTTATGACATGTGACAATATGAAACTCATTTTTCAGTAGCCATAAATACAATGACAATGTTTTTATTTCTGCAGAAAGCATCAGCCTGTACCTCAGAAACAATAATATGCTAAGCACTTTATAAATGTTATCTCTACCATCTACTAAAACCCTAACAAAGGTTAATTCATTGTTCCCATTATACTGATGTGCAAACTGAAACTTGTTTCAGGTGGGATCACACAGTCCCCTAGTGGCAGACGCGGAAACTACACCCACATCCATCTGCCTTTCCAGACTTCCTTCTCCCTTAGACAAAAAGCATTGGCTCTCAGAGTAGTAAGAACTTGAAATGTTCATACAGGAGGGTTTGGGAGTGTGCTAAATACTTTAAGAGGGTAGTTTTGGAACAGAATCAGAGGAAGGCAGTATTTAGGTGGACACATTTCTAAGAGATGTACATGAGCTAACTCGTGTAATTCTCATAACTCCTCCATAAATTGGATACCACTGACATCCCATGCTGGATGAAGGGTGGCCTTCCTACAGTCCACTACTCAGGTGAAAGGCCCAGCATATAGATGTTCTAGTGCTTTGGGACTTCTGAGGGGTGATACCTCTGGGTGTCGGAAGGCTCATGCACCCCAGTTATCTCTGATCACAGTTCAGAAGTACTTAGGGAAGGCTTCCTACACACTAGGCTTTGATCTGTGTCCTGCATTCCTGCTGGAAGACTCCTTCCTCAGCCACCCACCCGCCGGAGCCGCTCACAGGCTTCTCAGACCTTCTAAGCTAGTAGTGCTCTGATTCTTGCCTGAGGGTTCATTCTAAACAAACTTCCTTAATCATAACAAATTAACCAGCATTTGAAGAAATGGAGCAGATGAACTTAAAGTTCAAGAGTTGTGGGATGTGAGGCAAGAAGCTCTCCCACAGAAAGCAGGTCAGTTGTGACAGTACTTTGTCAAAGGCTTCAGCAGCTGCTGGTTTCTGTAAGTGGTTCTGCGTGTAACTGGTCTATTCTGGTACTTGTTGCCTTTGGCTCTTAAACAGCCACTTTCCCCACGTGGAACTTGCTCCCGGCAGCTGCTAATAAAAAAAACAGGAAGTGATTAGAATGTAATCTGTTTTAACAACTTTCTAAACTTCAGGAGTTTCAAAACAAGATTTAGGAGTGGATTCATTACCTAGGCTTCTTATAAAAAAACTGTGCAGGGATTAAAGTAGCAGTGCAAAGTCCGGTACAAATACTGACTTAGTAATGAGCTTTGCCTTTCGGGCATTTTAAATTCAAAGCCACCTTTTTTTTTTTTTTTTGGATAGAAATTGGTGGGGGTGAGGGCATAAAGAAGGAACTGGCAAGAGAAGGGAGAGGAAGTTAAGCCTGCTTTCCCTCCCTCTTTTCCCTCAGAAAACCAAATATGGCATCTTCCATGAGGAGCTTGTTTTCTGACCACAGCAGATATATTGAATCTTTTCGGAGGTTTCTCGACAATTCCACGGAGCACCAGTGCATGCAGGAATTCATGGACAACAAGCTGCCAGACGTAATAGCAAGGTAACAAAAAAGGATGTTTTTTGTTGAAGGGACAAGGCTGGGCTGGTCCTGTGCAGTGACAGATGGGTCGAGCTCAACCCGGCAGGCGGGGTGCGGGGATAAGAACGAGTTACTGATAGCAGAGCCCCTCGGCTCTCCTCGCCCCCCTGCACCTCTTCTCCTGTGTTGCTTTCCTTAGACGTTTGCTTTGAACACTCAAAGGCTCCGATTCCTGCAGTATTTCCAGCTGCATGGAGATAAGTGTTAACCATTTGAAGGCACATATCCATATTCATTTGGGAAAAACCTTAAATCTTTGAGCTCTGATTTTTCAGCCCTCCTCCAAATTTTACATTTCAAAAAAAGTACCCAAACAGAGAATTCAGTATTCTTTTCATTAAAATCAAACAGAAATAATTGCCAAATACTATTTGCCTCTGAGTATTGGGTGGATGCCTCTCAGTTCTCCTAATATCCATTTAAATTCATTTTCCTTATCCATCCATTATTACAGTTATCACTCGAAAAAAATTTGTCTTTTCCTTTCAACTTAATATTAGCAATGTGGCCATACAAAAGAAAAAAAAAGGCATTTTCCCATTATCAGTGAAAGTCACTAGCTCCTATCCTTCTCACAGACTCCTCTTTTTTGGTGATTAATGTGTTCAATTTGTGCCAGAGCTGATAAGCATTATGAGAGTAACAGATTCCACATGCTAAAGATAATCAAATTACCTATCTGGGGGTGGATGGCTGTAACTTACTCTGTTTCAGGAAATAATGATGGAAAACTGGGAAGAAATGACTGACTGTGGAACCAATTTGCAACAGCAAAGGAAACTGATATTTTATCTTGTGCTCTGTTTCTCTATTATAGGCCTGAAATTCTTTCAGCAGGACAGTACCTCTGCCTCACTAGAGCAGACATTGTTGAATGTGTATGGAATTTCTGTTTCCCTTTCTATTTTTCATGGTTCAGCTTTTAAATGTGTTTTTATTAAAAAATAGAACACTATATATTAAAAATAAATGATAAAATATGATGCAAAACTCAAAGCAGACAACAAATACAATTTGTAATCTGGGAACTAATTCAAATATACTCTTTCGGGTCTTTTTGCTAATTTCCAAAATTAAAGTTAATGAGTTAATTTCTGAGTTCTCTAGTAGTACTAAACTGTTCATATCTGTAGCTTAACCAGATCCTTGGTTTTCTTCAGCCAGTCACTTTAGTTTAAAGAGGCACCATGGGTAGATATGACATAATGGATGTTGACTGCTCTCTTGAAGGTGTATCCAGTCTAATTGGAAATAGTACATATAGAATTTGTACTATTGAAGAACTTTTGAAGGCATAACTAAATTTGCATTAGTGGTATTATATAATTAATAATGATCCAAACCAAAGTACCATTTGTTAAAAAAAAACTTTTGTTTGGAATGAGAATTAGCTAATGTACCATTTGAATTGCTGCTTAAAATTGTTTATAAGTTGTTAGTAGGCAACAAACTGTTTAATTTTTCTTTCTACAATTTTTTAAAAAAGTCAAATGGTTCTAAAAAGCTTATCACAATACCAGCAAAAGTACCAGTTTCTTGCTCTACCCACTCCAATCCCGGACTCTTACTCTCTAGAAGCAACCACTTTCGACACTGAAATCATTTAGTTGTTTCTTATGAAATTTTCTTTCCTAACTCCAAATAACACTGTATTCCTTTCTTTCTTAATTTTACCATAATAAAAGAGCTAAATAAATATGTACATTTCCTCCCCTGTCATGTAAATATATTTATGTCAAGCTTTTTGGTTAAATAACTTGACTATTGTATCATTTTGCCTTTGAACATACTATTCATATTTGAACAATGTGTTATACAATTATGTTTTCTTTCATTACACCTTCTTGTTTTTCCTATTGTATCATTTTGCCTTTGAACATACTATTCATATTTGAACAATGTGTTATACAATTATGTTTTCTTTCATTACAACTTCTTGTTTTTCCTAGAGTTAACTATTGTTTTGATTTTAGTCACTATTTACATCCCAAGCAGAAGTATTAATCTGTCTTAATTTATTCAAATAGATCAAATCATCTGTTAATCTTTTCCCATGGGAACATATTTTCCTGAGTTCTGTTCTTTTTTCCAAGTCTGGTAATTTGCTCTTGGCCTGCTATACAATTATTGCTATGGGAATCTATTTCATCTTCTAGAAAGTCTCTTCTCTCTCCAGTATTAGACTCCCTGAATCTGAATCTCATGCCATTATTATTATTATTTTTTCTCTTCAGCTAATCCCTTAAGAGCTTCCCAAGAAAGAGTGCATGGAACGTGAACTTCTTGAGACTTCGTGTATTTAAAAATGCCTTTACTCTATGCTCATCTTTGTTAGATAGTTTGGGTGTAAAACTCTATGCTGAATTGATTTTCTATCAGAAATTTAAAGGTATTTTTCCATTGTGTTCTAGTAACTAGAGCTTATGTCAAGAAATCTAATGCCATTCAAATTCCTCATCTTTAACTTGTGACCTTTTTATTTTTGTTGTTTTGTTTTCCCTACTTAGAAGCTTTAAGGATCTTCTGTTTAGCATTCTGAAATATTCAGATAATGAGTTGCTGTGTGGTTCTTTTCCACACATTTTTGTGGTTACTCGTGTGATATTTCAATTGAAATTCAGATCTTTCATTTCAGGAAAATTTTGGTATTGTTTAGTTATCCTTGCCCTCTTTTTTTTTTAATTCTTTCTGGAACTTCTACCATCCAACACCAGACTTCCCAAACTCATTCTCTAATTTTCTCATATTTCCAGTTTTTTCAATTTGATCTTTCAACCCTCCTATTAATATTTTGCTATTATACTTTTAATTTCTAAGAATGTTCTTTTTTTTATAGCATCTTATCACAGATGTAATATCTTACTAATGTCTATTCTAAAATTTTCCTCTGCTGTCTGCATGTTTCTTATGAGTTTCCTTTCTCTGTTTCTTTTGGTTTCTCTCTCTAATGTTAGGGGAGTTCTCCAACATGATATGAGTCTTGACTGTTCATCCAATCAAATAATGAGGCACTAAAAAGATGTTCAGATCCTCTTTGTTTACGTAAAGGAAGAGTTTGTTGGGTAGGTGGCTCACTGAAGCAATTGGATATAGACTCAGCTGTTTGCTGGGAGATTCTCAGATGTCAATTTGTATGAGTTATTCGCCAAGATGGTCTACTTCCCAGGGAGGAGTTCTTCAACCCCCTATCTGAAAGGTCAGGCGGGGAGCATGCATAGCTATAATTGGTAAAGTTTGTTGTTATAGTTAATGTAATGCATTTAGATCCTTGCTAAAAAAACCTGTAAGTTTTCCAATAATTATTAGTTATTATAATATATGAAATGGGGTAATAGTATATAACTCACAGAAGATTTGTGAGGATTAGGTGAGTTAATTCATGTAAATCACTTAGCTGTGCCAGGGATAATAATAATTTCTAATATATGTTGAGTGCCTGTCATGTGTAGACACATTTCTAAAAGAGTTACATGAATTAAATCATTTAATTCTCATAACACCTCCATAAATTAGATACTACTATTACAATTCTGTGAGGCAGGTGGTTATTATCCTATTTCATGGATAATAAAGATTCAGAGAAATTAAATAATTTGCTCAAGATAACATATTAGTAGGCTGGGATTTCAACCTGGGTGCTCTGCTCTGTAGATTCTGCACTCCCCACAGATAAAAGCATTTTAAGAATTACCTAAGAGCAGAGATACGGACAGGTGTATTAAGACTCCTGATTATGAGTGGAAATATAATTAGAACTCATCTAATAAGGAAGGCAACTCATCCATCAGTGTCCTTGATTCTGTCCTTTCCATTTTCCTTAAAAACCTTGCTTCAACCTCTGTCTCCATCCTATTATGAATGCTCTTTCACTTCAGCCAAAAGAAAGGCCAAAGCACAAACACCATTCTTTCAGTTCCTGTTTCCCCCTAGCATTCACTCTTTCCCCCATGATACTTCAACAATCTCTAGATACTTTTCTTCCTCTAGTTCACTTTTAATCCCACTGTCATCTGACTTCTGCTCTCAACCTTCTTTTGGAACTATGATCAAAGGTATTCATATTGCCAAATTCAGTGGGCCCTGATTCTCTTTTTCATTTTATTGGTATGTTCTGCTGCCTTTGACACCACTGACGGCTTTCTCTTTCTCTAACTCTCCTACCATCTCTGAGCTTCACTGTTTTCCTTTCAGTCTCCTTGTATGTTCCCATAATCCAATGACTTTTAAAAGTTGGCATTGCTCATCTGATTCTTCGTAATGTGCTTGGGTGATGGAATCAACTCTCCTACTCTGGACCACTAATTACAATATTTCTCCAGAATATATCATTGACTCTGATCTCACTCCCACCGAGCTTAAATCTTGCATATCCAAATGTCTATTGAATTAAGATTTTATATTAAAAAATGCTGACAAAACATAAACTTGCCTCAAACTGTATTACCCAGCTTCCTTTTGGGTACCACACTGTACCCAGTCATCCAGGCTGGAAACTTAGCAGTCATGGTGCACTCCTACTTTTTTCTGATTCCCTCCCCTCTAAAGCACGTCCTAAGGTTACTTCCCAGCCCATCAATTCGACTTTATTTCTAATACTAGAGCCATAATACTGGGCTTAGTTATCCCACATTTTCACTTGTGTGCAAAGTAGTGTCTTATTTATTTTTATATTCCCAATGGCTAAGATAGGCACATAATAAATGTTTAATAAACATTTGTTCATTAGAAGGAAGTTTGCAAGAAGGAAGGAAAGAAGTCAGATAGCATATAACCTTTTCCCCATCTATAACGAAGGGCTTATTATATCACCAGATTCAAAGGCACGCTTTTCTGTCCTATTCTCCAAACAATCTCTAAACAATAGTATTTCCTTCTTCTGTGATGTTTACAGTGCTGTTTTTAAAAGTCTCCCAGTTCAAGACTGTTAGTGAATGGAATCTGTATTTCTACAGATTTCTAAAGATAGCATCATAACTACTGAAATTATTGGGACCTTTCATGTTGGCCTAGTTTTTGTTCACTGTAATTTCAGTCTATTTTCTCCAAATAGGCTTGATAACTAGATTTTACAAAGCACCTAGCACCTTTTCTTAAACAACATAAAAAAATTTTTTTTTCAGGATTGGAAATACAAAATCAGAAATTAAGATTCTAAGTGTTGGTGGAGGTGCAGGTAAGAACATATTTTTCAATTTTGTATTTCACTCTACACCATGCTGTTGGTGGCAATATTGTTCATTCTTTAAGAAAGCTACATTGCTTTGCTTTTGGAAGAGATTAGCTTATTAAAATTACCAAGAGCAATGCCACTTCAACTAAGATTAATGCCCTTTAGATATGCAGTATTCAGGATGCTAGCCTTTATTACTGTCTGAAATGTGGATAAGATGTGGCATTCTTATTTTTCTTATAAATGGAAAAACATACAGTATATATTTTGAAGATAACTTTTATCCAAAATGATTTAACTGTTCACACAAAAGGAAATTTTCATAAGACATTCCTTAAGTTTGTTCCATTTAAAGTATGGTTGCTGGACTGCAAACTGTTATTGGTCCAGGAGGAGATACAAAGCATGCCTTGGAAGCTAAATCAATGCACAGCCTCCTTCACTGAGGAAGTATCACTAAGAGACAAAAAATTCTTAATGACCTAGTAACTCATATGCTCTTGGCCCCACTCTTTGAGTTACACTAGTCAAAACCATTCTTTGCCTTTGAATGAGTTCCAAAGCTGCCCTCTAAGCATTCAGCACATTCCCAAACCTTCTTATAAGCATTTCATGGTGTTACTACCATTAGAGTCAGTGCTTTTATTCTAGGGGGAAATAGGGAGTCTGGAAAGGCAGATTAATGTGGGTGTAGTTTCTGACTCTGCCATTAATAAACTAAATGACCTTGGCTGAAATATAAGCTTTAGTTTGCTCATCAGCATACTGGGAACAGTGAATTATATCTCTAGGACTGTAGTGAGAATTATATAGATGTTTATAATGTGACAAGCACATTTTAAGTACTTCTGTAAGGTACAGGCTGGTCCCTTCTCAAAAATAAAACAGAAAGATTCATCTGCAAGCATTGCCTCATATCAACCTCCTGATTTTAAGTTGCTAGACATCTGGAGATCTGAGCAAATATATTATTTTTTAACAGCCACATATTTTATTTATTATTGATTGATTGTTTTGATGGAGTGATGGCCTACTAGTGTTAATTGCTTGGTAACAAGTAGTATATTACTATATTACACCTGGTTACACAGTGTCAAGTGGTAACTGTGATGTGAATGAAACAAATTTTGGCCAATTATTAACACAAAGATGACCAAGAGCCCTCTAATGGTATAGGATAGGTAGATTTTATAAAATCATTTCTCCACTTGAAATGCACTATGATATAATATAATAAGGACTCACTCAAAATAAATTTACTTTTTAAAATCATTTTTGACAAATATAAACCAACAAGTATAAATAACGAAGGATATTGTCATGAATGATCTTAATAGTTTTAAGCTAAAATACTCTATTACTGCTTACTGATACTTTAAGTCCTAAGGATTATACAAGTGAATTCATTTAACCAAGACAATCAGTTTCAGTGTGTTTTGCCTATGATTTTTCAGGCAACCAGCAGGCAATAAGACTATCATTTGATAGTGTCATTTGTGCTTGGACAAGAAGAGAAGTCCTACAAAGAAAAGTAATTAAAAACAAATCTCTATCATGGCCAAGTTAATTGACCCTTTAAGGTAAAGTTAATTGAATTTCTAATGTAAATTTATCCAGATGCTTATAAGCTATGTAGAGAAAGGAACATTTGGCCCTTGCAGTGATTCTTTACATAAGGGTACACACAGGAGCTAATACTGAGAACTTACCAAAACAAAGGGAGCGACCCTGGAGTCCTTCAGACTGAGCCCTGACACTATTACTAACACAGTCTGCCTTGGGGAGAATATGGGAGCCCCTGAAGGCCGCACTTCTTACAAAATTGATCAGAAATGTAAGAATGCCAAGAGATTCCAAGCTATAGATACTTAGCTTTCACTGCTTAGGTAAGGTATATGAAATCAAAAGTAATTCATTTAAAATCTCTAGGTCCTGATGTCCCTGGCATGAAAGAGCAGTGTTTTGGGGGAGAAAACACCCTATTCAGTTAGTTTGATTGCTCACATACTATTTAGGAAATGCTTCTCTGATAGCCTGTCATTGCCAAACTGTAAGCAATGTGCAAAACAAAATATTACTATACACTAGGAACTTCCTATCCTTGTCTTAGAGGAATGGTCTTCCCCCATGTACAGTGTGCTGGAGAGTTCTGCATCACTCTGTGCCTTGGGTATCCTTCCAAGTTAGTCACTGAATCCCTGGTGAAAAAAGGCTACTGGTTCTGTCTGGTACCTTGTGTTCAGCTGTCATAATGCGTCTTACGGGATTCTACCTCATTCTCAGCTTACAGGTCTCTGGTCACACTTTCCTGATGTTCTCTTCTTATTTGCCTAGACATCTGCAGATCATTTTCTGCATATCTTTGGTGCAAATATTTTCTCTGTATTGAGACTTGGTGCTACCACTTTTCTGCACCATGATGAAAACACATATTAAAAAAGAAAATAAACACACTAAAAATCTCCATTAATAAAATTGCTGCTTTTATATCATCATTTAATGCTCATACTCTTTGGTGGCCTATTCAGTTTTCTTTTCAGAAACATGAGCAGGGGTTCTATATGCACACTTCTTGTGGTCTGCTTCTCTCCTATAGAGGTTTGGTGATTGTATAGAGAGAGATTCCACAGTTTAAGAGAGAATGCAAGGTTTTTGAAAAAGGGTTGCTTGGCAATTCAGTTTAGAAGTCAAGTTAGAGCTTGCAGCTGTTCAAAAGAAAGGAAATTCGATGGCAAACTTTTTGATGTTATCTTTGAGTAACCTACCACATCAATAGTCTACAACTGATAAGCAGTGCTGTTATCCACAAATTATATGTTTAATGTAAGGAAAATGTATGACATAGATATTATGTGAATCCCTCCCATTTAAAAAAAGCGAAGAGAGAAAATCAGGAGAAAAATAAATCATGAATGAACAGAAATACAGACCATGTAGCTTGTAGAGCACCCAAACTGGGAAGCACAAAGTTGTGTGTGGACATGTGTATGAGTTTGTGCTTTAATGAAACACAAAGCCGCTGGGATTGGCTTTATTCAAGGTCTCAAAGTACTCATTTCATGTTCACTTCAGCAGTTGTTTTTAGATATTGAGACAAATGTATTATATTCTAAATCTCATAGAATATGCTTTTTGGTCCATCCTCAACACTGATGCTTCCCCAAATGAAGCTGCTAATGGAGCTTATTATTCAACTTATAATGAGTGTTGTCCTAATGCTAGAAAGTATATGGAGAGAAAGAAAACCATATTCTTTTTGGCAAAGGAGAATGATATTAATTTACAGTGCATATATTTATGCCTAGAAAAATGTTCCAGAAGGCAGTAATGGGCAATGTGTTCTTGCTCTGGGTTCTGCCTAAAGGATAATCATTTTATCTGCTGCATTGTTCAGTTCTTATGTTCAAGTGCCAGAAAGTTTTACAAGTGTGAGACTGGACTATAATTCAAATAATCTCATTTTATCCAGCTTTCTACTTCTATTTTTATTAACCTATTCTGCACTGATTCGACTCTCGTAACATACATAACATTATATATGTTTATAGGTAATTTTTAATTCACTAAAGCAACTCATGTATGAAAAACAGTAGGTATGAACCCTCTCCTAATAGTTTTTGGTAATAATTTTGCTGACATATATTGAGAGCAGTGAGGTGGTTTTATAACTAAAGAAAAGCGTCATAGAGACAACAGCATTCCTACAGAGGTTAACAAGTAGAAGAGAGTTTAGAGACCATCAACACCTCATTCTACACATAAGAAACCTGAGAATCATCAAGGCAGAACCAAACCCAGGTCTCCTGACTTTACTGTTGTCCAACAAACCGTAGTAAACAGACGTGAATTATTGTCTTGGCAAAGAATTGATTAGGTACTTAGTAATGACCAGTTATTTGGGAGTCTAATCTTATCAAGCTATTAGTTTTGTCTCCATTCATAAATGACATGTGAAAGTAACATTGAACTTTAATTTTCTAGGCTAGCTGGGTAGAAGTGGAACAAACATAATTAGGGCAGTAACTGGAAGGGCCTATATGTCTAGTTTAGTATCCAGGAGAGATGATAGGAGGCAAAGGTTCCTGTTTCCCAGTGGCCAGAGTAAGCAACAGGCTGTATCAACAAATTAGGAATGATGGGAAAATATACAGAATGGGGGGATATTCTGCCCCGAAAAAAGGAATTTGGATGTGCTTATTGCCATCATCAGATACTTCCTATTGACCAAACTACAGAATATTTGCCCCCAAAGGGCCAGTGGTTGAAAGACAGATTTCTTGGTTCAGTATTAGAATTTATTTCATGATCAAACATGTCTAGCAATGTAAGCACTCATCTTGGGAGATAATGTGTTATCTATTGCTCTAAGCGTGCTGGCATAGGTTGGTGAGACACTTCTCAGGCATGTTACAGAAGGGACTCAGGCACTGATTTCTTGGGTATCTGGCCATTAAATATGCTTTCAGTCCAGGAAATCCATGGTTTTATGAGTAACCTTAAAGAAAGAGGTAGGTATTTCTCCAGAGTGGTGTGGCTAACACCATGTCTGGCTACACTGAAGAAGTGGAATTTAAATGGGACTTATAGACATGCAGATAATTTTTTATTCATAACTCTAATTGCTTATAACTTGAAATGGGCAAGAACTATTTCACATGTGGACAACATGCTCACAGCTATACCATTCTCAGAAGGATGTGGACTCTAGTGATTCACTAATTTACAGGATTTAAGACTGCCCACTTTGGGTAACCATAGTTTGGGGCCTCAGATATAAAATATTGTTAAAGGCATTTCTAACTATGTTATTTAAAAAAAGTAAAACTACTCTCCATATGTAATTTTACTAAAATGCCTCACTGTGTTTCAAACTTGCAGTGAACAGGGAGGTATTGTTAAAGACAGAAACATTACTGATTTGAGAGAACAGAGCATAATGTTACAACACTGGAGCCACTGTCATTAAAACCAGAGAAAACAAAATTGTTTTGGCTAATTCAATA